AAGTGGCAGAGTCTGGTCTGGCGGGGAAGGTCAGGGTTTCTACACACACACACACACACACCCTGCCCTGCCAGCGGGATCCCCGCTGCATCAGAGGGGGGGAGGGGGGAAGATGAGCTCCCTCTTCCGCCCCCCTGCTGAGGGAATCACAGTGTGCTGCCTGAAGGCTTTCCCTGCTACAGCAGGGAGCCTAGCCAGGTAAGCGTCGCCCTCATGCCCAGACCCTGCACCCAAATCCCCCAACTCACTCCCCTCCCCCTGCCAAGACCCCACATTCCCAGCTTGCTCTGACACCCTGCTGTGAGTCCCCTCTTGTACTCTCCCTCCTGGTCAGACTCCCTGCCCCAAGCTCTCTCCTGCACCCTCCCTCCTGGCCAGGGCATGGCAGATCATCTTGGTGATTTATACACAAACATCATGAAGTATTTTCCAACCATAAATAACAATAACTGAATTTGAAATCCATTAAGTGTAACAGAAAAGCCAGTCAGTTTTTCTATGCAAGATTATGAAAACGTAATCAAAATTGCTTCATACGGCCAATTATTAAAAAAATTTAAAGACGTTTCTTGGATTACATTTTGGGTGGCTTAGGTCTACAATATTCAGCATTATCAAGACGTGCAATTCGTCAGATGTTACCCTTCACCAGCACATACTTATGTGAAACTGGGTTCTCGAAATATGCAGCAACAAAAATGAAATACAGAGATCGACTGAATGCCACGCCGTATATAAGAATCCAACTTTCCAGTATTAAACCAAATTTTAAAAGACTTTGCGAAGAGAAGAAAAGCCATCGTTTGCATTGAAAACTGCCAATATAATGCATATTAGGTTTTGAGCTTTATTTTTTGTACGCATTACTTGTGACTTTTGTTTTTAAATATGTGCAAATAAACTAAATTTTGATCTCATGACCTTGTTTCGCATTTGTTTATTATTATCCTTACTTATTTGTGGTCTACCTTTTCTGCTCCATATATGACTGAGTTTAAAAGGGTTCCGTGGCCAAATAAAATTGGGAAACACTGATATAGAAAACTAATTATTTTAAGACAGCTGCTTATTTTAAGACAGCGCTGCTTCCCTCCCCGCCCATTAACATCAGCCGGCCCGCAGTTTACATGTCTGGCTGCACATTGCCGCTCCATGATCCAACAGTTACTAGGCCTGGCAGCCGCCCAGCGTGTCAGCTGCTTCCGAGCAACACGGGAGGCTGGGCACCAGCTAAGCCACGCCTAGCGCCACCTTAAAGTGCCCTAGTGCAGTTCCCAGGCACGGGGCCAAAGGAGAAAGGGCTCCAATTGCCCTGCACAGGGGCAGAGGTGCAGTGGTGAGGTGGGGGTGTTAGGCTAGGAGCCAGGACTCCTGGGTCTCATCTACGAGTCTGGGTTCAGTCGTGGATTCCCCTCCAAAAACTGGAGCCCATGCTGCTGAGCCACCTGTGCCAAGTGCTTTGAATGTGCTACACAAACCAAAGGGACAAGTGAGTGACTGGCTTCTTGCAAAAGAAGTTTTAGTAAATTAAAATTAATTAAGAACTACCTTTGAGCATCCATGAGTCAGGAGAGATTATCAAATATGTCCATCTTATCAACAGAACAAAAGGTAGCAAATAATATTAATTTCAATGCAATTATTGATGAGTTTGTCTCATTAAAAGCGTACAAAGTACAATTATAAACAAATACCTAATAGTACCGGACATGGTGATATTTTATAATTATATGTATATATGTATTAATTGACTGTTTATGCAGATCTCATAACTATAATAAATAAATGTTGTGTTATTATTATTGCTGTTATTTATGTCTTTTCCCTTTTTCTACAAAATAACTATTATATATACACAAACAATTTTATATTCTTGCCTCAGGAGCAAAATTAGCTAGTTATGGCACTGCTTAGGTGCTTCTGAAAATGTAACCCTGCATTACTAAAGAAAGGACCTTAATACACGATGTATGTTCAAAGGAAAATGTAGTGTTAATATTTGAAAATCTATTTTTGAGGCCAGTCCTATGTCTTTGAAGCAATGCTTCACAATAGACTGCAGAAGACCCAGTTCTGAGAATGACCTTAGGTCGTTCTTCCTTTGTTAACAGAGAATCACTCCAGCTATGCAGAACAAAGCTATAGTATCTATTAGCACTGACCTGTACACACTGGAAACTGCAATGAGCCCGTGGCACAGATTAAAATGAAACAGATTTAAGATACAATCTGGCAAAACTGCTGCAAATCTATAGTTTGGTTTTGAGTTTGTTCAGTGTTTTTTTTACCCGTCTTATTTCTGCAGTGGAGAAGCCAGAAGTCTTGAGCTGCTCACATTCCTTATGCAGGTTTTTAAAGGCTTCCATCAGATCTTCATACTACAAAACACAAGAAAAAGAAAATCTCCAAGGCCAGCACAGTATCTAATATGTTTCACATCTCTACATTGCTGATCTTTGTGTCCACATGATATTACTAAAAAGCAATGTGAACACAGAGGTATTTCATCTGAAAAAAGGCAGCATATAAAGCAGATGTTCACATGTATTACAACATTGCAACAAACAACTTTCTATTTCTCACATATTGAGAAATAGAAGGCTGTTCAAACATTCATGCAGCTATTCAGCTTTCGTGATGCACAATAAGGGTAAGTCTACACTGCAACACTATTTCAAAATAACTAGTGCTGTTCTGAAATAACTTAGTCCACGTCTACACAACAGGCACTTATTTTAAAATAGTGTCAAAATACTGTCAAGCTGGAGGACTTCTTACTCCGACTCCTGAAACCTCACTGTACGAGAAATAAGGGAAGTCAGAGGAAGAGTGCTTTATTTTAAAAGGGAGCGTCTACACAGCACTTATATTTCAAAATAAGATACATAATTGACATAACTTGAAATAATCTATGCAAATTGAGCTAAGCCCTGCAGTGTAGACACACCATTTATATTTTTTGTTAAACATTTCATCATACTGATTTAATGAATGACTGTATCTAATGAAATGCATTAGGAAAACTTCATAGAAATTATATAAATGTGCATCATAGGGCACTTCTAAACTACTTTTTTTTCCAAAAGAGGATATGCAAATTTGACATGAATTTGCATATCTTCTTCCAATTTCATTTTCGAAAGAGGATCTTTCGAAAGTGAAAGTAGTCTAAATGTAGGCTTTTTTTTGGGAAAAAAACACATAAACTTCATTTTTTTAAGGAAAAGCGGGTTTTTTGAAAAGGGGTTTTTTTCCCTGAAAAAAAAAACCGCATCAAGACTACTTTCAGTTTTGAAAGATCCTCTTTCGAAAGTGAGATCAGAAGAAGATATGCAAATTTGTGCGGAATTTGCATATCCTCTTTCGAAAATAGAACATAGTCTAGACATTGCCTCAGCTAATATTAATCTGAACACACATTTTAATTATAATTTGTTGGCTTTAAATTTCGGACCCCTCCCCAGTTTGATTGCTTAAGATCCACATTTAATGATCACAAAAAATTTTGGAATATCAGCCTTCGCCAAATGAAGTCCTTTGTTTATCCACACAAAATCAATATCTGTCTGCTGGAAATTAGACAAACCTCCAATGCATTTTAATTGAGTAATCAAAAAGCAATCAGAAGACAATGGCATTTAGTCAGTAATGTTTGGGAACAGATTACAATGAAGCACCTACCGTGAAAAACTCCATAGCCTTGTACAGAATGTGAACAAACGTGCTTTCCTCTTATATTAAAAATGTGTTAGCTGTTTGTGGGTTTTTTAAATTGTTAAACCTGTCTACATGATGTGTTAACATGGCTTTGAAAATCATTTACTTAAAAGAGGTAGCTAACACACTTTTAAAACACACTTTTTCTTAGCCATCTCTAGAGTATCGCTAATCCAGATAATAAAATAATAACTGGGTAGAAATTCATCTAAAAAGATTACCTGTTTGTTGGTGTCAGCCACAGTATCATCCTGAAGAAATTCAGCTGGCACATCAAGTTTAATTAAGAAACGTGCCAGATAAGCTCGTTTCTTGAGTTCATTAGTCCGTTGCAGGAGCCAGTGTAAGACAGGATGAATCACAGGTTTGCTACCAGTAACTAAACCCTGGCGGAACGTACTCCTAAATAATAATAAAAAATAATAAGCATTCAACTAAAGAACACTGTTTTAGAGCAAACTCTATTAGCAATTTTCATGATTCCCTCCCCATCTGTTAATGTTTTTCTATACAGGCAGTCCCCGACTTACGCGGATCCGACTTATGTCGGATCCGCACTTATGAACGGGGGTCGGGGCGAGAAAGCCCCGTTCGTAAGCTGCTCCGGTGCCCCTGGTCTGCTGGAGACCGTCTCCAGCAGACCAGGGGCACCGGGC